CAGAACACTTGATTCAGGTTAAAATATAGAAAAATATAATTAAAAAAATAATATTAAAAAAAATAAAAAATTTGAATGTCGACCCTCGCAGGGTTTGGAACCCATGGCCCCCTTGACAATAAATCACATTTGCTACACAGCTTTACATACTGCGCCATGCGTCACATGCCTGACCCGCGAATATTTAGCTTAAAACTCCTCCCCCTGGTTTGTAAACAAAACTTATTTTGGCCCATTGTGGACTCACTTATTGCCCATGCAGCAGAGATAAGTATTAATTACGTGAAAATAACGTTAAAATGCCACAAGGTTTAGAGCAAAAAAACGTTTATTTAAAACGTTTTATTTCCGTTTCGAGTGGTAGTCTCGAATTAGGTAAAAAAGCGTTTATATTTGGGCTGTTTTTAACGTAAAAATGACGGATTTTTGCCGTTATTTTNAAAGCATTTTAATCATTACAGAGATAAGTATTAATTACGTGAAAATAACGTTAAAATGCCGCAAGATTTAGAGCAAAAAAACATTTATTTAAAACGTTTTATTTCCGTTTCGAGTGGTAGTCTCGAATTAGGTAAAAAAGCGTTTATATTTGGGTTGTTTTTAATGTAAAAATGATCGATTTTTGCCCTTATCTTGGTCAATTTTTCACGTGATTTTAACCAAGCAGGTTTCTTTTTTAACGTATTTTTTACTTTTTTTTTCACCAAAGTATTTACGTATATTTTTGGTTCTATAAATTCGTTTTTTTCACCATGAATATTTACGTGTTATTAACGCTTATTTTTATTAAAATAACGTACGTATTACGTTATTTTAACCAAAATACTAACGTATTTTATCCATACAATTTACGTATTATTATCAATATTTTTAACGCTTATTTTGAGCTAGGTGAATTAATAAAATTTTTGGCTTAAATTTAAATAAATTAATTTTAATTTATCGTAATTTTAACCGAATTGTTAGCAATAACATATTTCAAGTTGTTTTTTTTTTAACTAAGAAGGAAAGAAACTATTCCGTATATTAATGTTTACTCTGCACTAATTACACTAAAAAATATAGCATTTACTTTTTATTTAAAAAAAACTTTTAATTCTTTTCGATCTAAAACTGAAATAACGGAAAATAGCCGATATTCATGCTTTTTTTTAAGAATCCTAGAAAAATTTTTTTGTTTTTATTCTCACACTTTCTGTAAATTTTTACAATTCAAATTATAACTCAACGAATATGGAATGCAAATCTTTCTACCTCTTCACAGCTGCATACTGGTTTATTTGCGAAGTTTCATCTCAGGAATTTTTTACATATTTCATTCCTAAAATTTCGTAATATAAAGAATTGGTAGAAGAAAAAATTACTCAATACTTACATGATTTTCCAAACCCCTATGGAATTTTTTTTTTTCAGTTCAAATTAATAATTAAGAAATCTACTGCTCTCCTGAAGTCCATGTTTCCAAATTGCTTGCTTGAAATTTTCTACTCTTCTAGAATTCTTTTGGGTTCATAATTTTTTTTTTTTCAAAATGCATATATTTTAGTTTCTAGCTTGAAAAATTTGACAAAAATTTACTTTAACACACACACGAAGAAAAAAAAAATTAACCAAATTTCCCATTTGATTTGTCGTAAAATTCTAATTCTAAAATTGATTTGTCGTAATCCCATTTGATTTGTCGTAAAATTCTAAAATTCGTCTTATGTTCGTAAAATTACAATTTTTAATCCAGAAGAGCAGTTAACTTAATAATTTTAAATACAGAAAAAAACATTCAATCAAATAAGATTTATTAAGTTTTATTTATTTTACAACTATCATACAATATATAGATTTACAATTATAACACATCGCCACAGATCTGAAACATTCATAACTTCTTCCACTCCGTTGTTACTATCACCTCTTCACTGCAATGTTCCTGGAAAACAAATAACTATTTTAGCATATGAAAAAAAAATATACCGGACAATAATATTAAATTGTTACAACCAACAATAGATTTCTAAAACGAAGCAATACTGACTAGATAAAATACAGTTAAATAAAATTTTTAAAAAAATATATTAAAACTGTTTATTATTTTCACGGAATTTCTNATAACTCAACGAATAAGGAATGCAAATCTTACTACCTCTTCACAGCAACATACTAGTTTATTTACGAAGTTTCATGTCTCTCAGGAATTTTTTACATATTTCATTCCTAAAAGTTAGGAGTATAAAGAATTGGTAGAAGAAAAAATTACTCAATACTTACATAATTTTCCAAACACCTATGGAAAAAAAGAATTTTTTTTTTAGTTCAAATTAATAATTAAGAAATCTACTGCTCTCCTGAAGTCCATGTTTCCAAATTGCTTGCTTGAAATTATCTACTCTTCTAGAATGCTTTTGGATTCATTATTTTTTTTTTAAAAAATGCATATATTTTAGTTTTTAGCTTGAAAAATTTGACAAAAATTTACTTTAACACACACACGAAGCAAAAAAAAAAAAATATTANTTTTGGGTTCATAATTTTTTTTTTTTCAAAATGCATATATTTTAGTTTCTAGCTTGAAAAATTTGACAAAAATTTACTTTAACACACACACGAAGAAAAAAAAATTAACCAAATTTCCCATTTGATTTGTTTACTTACAAAAATTACAATTTTTCTAAGTCTTATGTTCGTAAAATTACAATTTTTAATCCAGAAGAGCAGTTAACTTAATAATTTTAAATACAGAAAAAAACATTCAATCAAATAAGATTTATTAAGTTTTATTTATTTTACAACTATCATACAATATATAGATTTACAATTATGACACATCGCCACAGATCTGAAACATTCATAACTTCCTCCACCCAGCTGTTACTATCACCTCTTCACTGCAATGTTCCTGGAAAACAAATAACTATTTTAGCATATGAAAAAAAAATATACCGGACAATAATATTAAATTGTTACAACCAACAGTAGATTTCTAAAACGAAGCAATACTGACTAGATAAAATACAGTTAAATAAAAAATTTTAAAAAAATATTAAAACTGTTTATTATTTTCATGGAATTTCTACTAAGTATATATCGATTGAGTACATCCAAATACTTAGATATAAGAAAATCTATTTTACAAATTTTAGTCACATATTACACAACAAAATTACATACATATACAGCACAAATCTGAATTAGAATATTTCATAAATTTTTTTTTACCCTAACTAAATCTTACATTGAAGCCAGCAGTAAGTTATAAACAAAACATAAAATTATTTTTCGTGTGGCTTTGAGGAGAACTCCTCCAGACTTTTAGTCTGGTGCTGTCGGCTGCTATGGTAACAAGTAAGAGCACATTTCAAATGGGGGAACAATGAGGGAATAAAGGTGTCAATTGGTTTACTCAGGCTGACCTAAAATCAAGACAAAACTATTCACAAAACACCATTATTTGAAATTACTTTTTCTCATAACCGCAGTACTTGCCACGACATGCGCCTGTTGTCTGGTAAAGTTCTCCTAAAAGCTGCCCTATACTTTCTGTTTATTTACTTATCATCAGAATTTTATTTTCCTCTCACATTTTTATCTTGCTCCTTAGCTGCAATTTTCATTCCTCTTCAGAATATTTTGCAAGAACTTTGTAGTTCAGAAACACAATTCGATTAGTTTCAGTTACATAATTTTTAATTTCTCATTTATTAAAACAGTAAAAATACTATGCCTTTTAACACTAACAGTATCTTATATACAAAAGGAGTAATTTTACCAAATTCAGTAATTTGTTAAACTATATATTATTTAGTTCAAGGGAAGAATTATATTTTAAAATTGCCTCTGTTAAAGCTTTTTGAAACAAAAAATGGTTAATTTGAAAATTCTTTAATTTCTGTAAATTCGCTGCTAAAACATAACACTTCACTCCAAAATACATTAGAAAGCTGTTTGGAGATTTAGAAATTCATTTCCACAACAGAATTCTTAGTAATGGTGGGGCATAAACTTCAAGTGAGGGGAAAATAGGTTCTGTGTTCCTTGACACTAGTGTGTTACTATCAGGTTGCTTGGGGGCAGTAAANTCCTTTATTTATATCTTACTGCATTAGTTAAGTTTCCAAACCGTGTAAAGCACCCAAAAAAGTAATAGTTTTTCACTGGAGATACAATATCATCGACTTCTGAGTCACTGTTTCCTATAAATCTACTTCTTTAAATCGCGAAATTCGGTAAATAAGGGTTAGTTTAACCGGGGTTCAACTGTATTAAAATTAGTCACAATGGCGATTCTAAGAACGGACGTAATTTCTCGTTCTGATAAAATAAATGTGGGTAAAATTAATCAAAATATAAAAAAATCAATGGAAAAGGGTTAGAAAATAAAGTGGATGGTGTTTTCGTCCTTATCAGAAAATGTGGTGAAGCTTATTGCGTGGTGTGCTGTAATGAGATATCACACATGGCTCTACTGTTCCTGGCCAAATTATGAGGCGCACTATAAGATTTCACTTAAATTCTTAATTATCAGGTGATACAGCTTATTGTTTCTAGGCGACAGAAACCGGTTTGTACTTGTTTACGTCCGCGTATCAATGGGTTAAATGAGACGATAATATAAATTCAACGATTGGATAAATTGAAACGATATATCATGTAAATAGAGAATATTTATTACATCAGGTATTTTATAAGTATATTATAATAATGAGATCAAATGATTAGACGCGTTGTAGTGTTTCAATAATAACATGTTTTGAACGAGTTTATATGCGATGCATTCAAATTTAAACATACATGTAATGAGTTTTTATTCGGGAGGTTCTTTGTATACTTCCTATTTTGCATTACAATATTAACCAATTAATACACAAACATAAACCATAATGATTTCTGATAATTACATAGAATATTACATAGTGCGTCAAATAATTTGACAATGCTTGGAAAACGGACGAATCGACATTTTAATCAACTTTTTTTTGTAAATCGATTCCTCAAGTTCGTTTTTTTTTTTTTAAAAATCGATTATTCATAAATCTGTTCATTTTAGAGAATCGATTCATTTAAATGAATCGTTTGGTACATCACTACTCGAGAAAGTTTGCGGCACATGTGCCAGTAATAACTTCGGTATGTTATCAAATTCGATTATGATTTAAATGCAAGATAGATTTAAATGAAACTACATTATGTTGAAAAAGGACGCTCTTAGAGTGAAACCTTTATTTAAATTCTATTCTTTCGATACTTTATATTCAAAGTTTATTTTTATTTCTCTTTAAGGAAACATTTGATTGTGTGGTAATCAGTTTGAATCTTTAAGCAAAGTTTTAAGTAATTTATAAAGTGCATTTTTAAAAGATTTTTCAATTGAAATAAAAGAACATAATTTTATATTAATATTTATGCTGTCTTTCACATAACAACATACATTTTTAAGAAAAACAAACGACTGCGGTGCATGATTAGCAAATCAATAAATCTGAAAAGAAATCTTAAGGAGGGATCATTATGCAGGTGCAAATAAATTAAGGCTGAGTGGGAGTTTTCCCATTAATTCTTATCTCCCCAAATAAGGGTGACATGGGAGGGAAAGGAAATCGTATTTTTAAAACTCTGTTTGCAAAATCTCGTCATTTTGCCCAACCAACTCAATATTTATTTGATTATTATGCTTCTATCATATATTGATTTGATTTTGTTTCAGAATTTTTGTGGTTCATGAGCTGATTTTGATAATAAACGTAGACAACGCAACAATTTCTTAACTAAAATTTAAACATATAAATCGACGGGTCATTTATTTATTTACTTTAACTATTTTTAAGAAATAATTTTTTCGTAAAAAAATTTTTTTTTCTCTATATCGTTAATTTTCATGTCCCTTATATTTGTTAGATTTAATAACGATTTAAGAATTTTAAAAAATTGTAAAAATTCCATCTCGAAATGAGGGACCGTTCACTAATTCCTTAAAACTGTTTGGTCTAACTTACAAAATTTCTTTGCTTCGGAATTTTTAAGGTTTATGAGCCTTTTTTTAAAAAAAAAAAGCAGACAGCTTAACATTTTCTTAAAATTGAATCTTAGAAATTAAGAGAACGCTTATTTTTACTATTTTTAAAAAAATTTACCTCGTGCAAAAATTCTTTGATTTAGTTCACCTGACTTTAAAAATCAACTGAATGCAATGATTTTTAAAAACAATTCAATAATTAATCACAGAATTTTTACATGTAATTATAAATAGGGATCGATCACTCATTACTTTTGCGCTGTTTTTTTTCTTTCATTTCTTTAAAAAATAATTTTATTAATTAAGTATTTAACACTCAGTTAAGTATTTAATCATCTGGTTGAGAGGTCATTAATAATTATCTAAAAAAATATCCTTTTGAAATGTCTTACCAAGATTTAAATTTAATTAATGCAACAAGTTCTGTGCTAGTATTATTAATAGATTTTCTGCTATGGGCCACTGAGTAGTCATATTAATCGGCTTTACTAAAAAAAAAAAAAAGTATTGCCATTATTAAAGAATTGCAACCAATGTAAACAATGAAAAATAATTTAACAATCAAACCCTGCGGCATACATCTCTAATATCTTTCTGCAAGTTATTTTTAAAAATAACTTACTAATTTAAAAGTAACAGGAACGTTAACTTCTAAAAATAAATAAAAATCAGATCAAATAAAATAAATCTTCTTAAAATTGAATATGTAATATTTGTTTTAATTCTAATATTATGGGCGGTATTCTCACATTTTGTAGGAAGATAACACATTATTTCCTTTTACAAGCAATCATGATTGCAAGTAATTAATTATTTGTTAACAATTATACTCTTTAATACTATGCATAAATTAAATGGATGTATATATTTATTTCGCTTAATAACTATTTCAGATTTGAAAAGACTAATAATAATTATTTGAAAAGTCTTAACTAATTAGTATATTACAATTATTTATCTTAATTAATCTTATATATTAGTTCACACGCTAATTAGCTTATCTAATTAATGTAATGGCTATAAAAAAGCATGATCTGATTTCTGTAAAATAAATTTAATTAAACGAGTCTGCTGCCATTTTTTACATTTACTTTTCTTTTTTTTTTTTTTTACTTAAGTACGGTTGGTTGATATTCTGTTTCCATGTCAACGTTTCTATACATTTGATTCGATTTTAATTTAAAGATTTTTTTTCGCAAGTAAACAATTAAGAATTTCACCTTTCTGGAGAAAAATATGATAATGATGTGTGTGTAAATGAATAGTTCGACTAGTGGTCAGAAAAACTAAATTAATTTGGTAGTTTACTACAACTACTTTGTTACAAATGCAGTTAACTACATCTACTTTTTTTTCTTCAAAATGTAGTGACTACTAACTACGTTTGAATTGTAGTAACTACTTGACTACTTTTAGGTCACGAACTTTGCTGGCGAACTCAAAACAGTTTTGAATAAGAAATTGGGTTAAGTTAAATATAACGAAATAATTAAGAATTATTTATTCGTGTTTACAAGAGTAAGTTTGATTTACCATAATATTTTTTTCGAATTTGTTCATTTAACCATCAACTTTTAATACATATTTCGAAGGCGAATATTTAATTAAAGAAATTCGAAACTTTATTGAATTTCTTTGAAATAACATCAAATGTCTCACAAGTTTCCATTCGCTTATGAAAGTGTGACCCAAGTGATTATTTATTTAGTTTTCGTAATGGCTAGTTTGAATATTAATTATATATGATACGTCATTTCTGTTACAGCTCATTGCAGAAGCAGGGTCATTTTCATTGCATCCTTCAAATTAGTCTTTCTTTTCTTAACTGACGTTAAAAGTAGTTGGTAGGAACCGCTACTTTCTACACTACGAAAAAAGTAGCGACTACAGTAGTTTCATGGCTTGTAGTGTGCTACTTCGAAGTACAAAGGATTCAAATAATGATTTGTATGCAACCTATTAAGTAAGGGTAGGGCACTGGGCCCATGTCCAAGAAGGCGTGGGTTCGATCTCCCCGTGTAGTAAATGGTGCCTGATGCATGCTAAATCTGTCGAGTCACTAAGTCCACCACATTCCCATAAACAAATCATACCTCTGGGGATACTGATGCAGGAGTTCACTTGTCTTCTGGATTGGGTTCAAAATGATGTCGGTTGATCAACGACGGTTATAAAAAACCTATTAAGAGAGTTTATATATTAATTGTTCGCATTGCATTCAGGAGCAGTGATCGAAACAGTTTCGCTACTAAAACTTTGCGAAGTTGTACAAGTAATTAGTATTTACGATAAAAATTGTAATCGTGTCTACACTTTAAGTCACGAATAGGATTTTATTTTTATGTCCTGTGTTGAAAATTTCTAGTTCTGCAATTTCGAACCCAGACCAGAAGACAGAGAAACTCCTGGATCAATCATTGGGATAAACGCGAAGATATTTTTTAAAGAATTTTATATGGAAAGGAAAACCATGAAAATCTTCAACGGAGCCTAAGGGCGAGGGAATTCCAACTTTAGATCATTTGATTTAATTATAATTGCAAATGATCATGATGTTCGTTTTATTTATAATCATTTATTATGATCGTATCTTATACTTATCAGAAAATTAGGTTGGCCAATACTTATGCAAATCAAGAACCAAAAGAGACAAAATATGCACATTTTTTTTTATTATAAGCTTGTAAAAATCAGAATTTTTTTAAAATTCTATCTACTGCAGTGTTTTCCAACTTTTTTAGTGCCATGCCCCACCTAAGTCATTCTAACATTCTTTTGCCCCCCCCCCCTATGTAACATATACATAATTTTTAAAATTAAAAAATTGAATTGTTCACTTAAGAAACTTAAATGATAGACTTTAGGAAGAAATCACTAGGAAATTGTTAACGAAACACAGTAAGTAAATTTTCAAAACATATAATGAAAAACTAAAATTCAAATAGTTTTAATAAAGATTTTTCTATAACAATTCAAATTTAGCGAGATCCTTGCTGCACGGAGATTTCATGTTAGGTTCCAATTTGGTTAGCTTCAGTCTCAAGTATCCCCATTGTGTTATATCCAGGCGATTTCTTTCTCTAGCAGTAAATCATTTACAGCACTAAATCCAAATTCAGCTAAATATGAAGATGATGGAATCGGTAACAATAGTTTTCTTGCACATTTGGTTGAATTTGTGTGTATAATTTCTGTCTCCCCACACAGCCACACCATTACTCCCTTTATATTAAATAAAGTTTTAACTGACTCATCATTTTGCATTTCTACGAGTTCTTCTTGATACTGCATATTTGATATATCAGACAAATCCACTAACTTTGGCTGCATCATCCATGTTGGAAAATCAATTTGTTTTAAATCAGAGAATCTTTCTTTTAAATCAGCCGATAGAATTTGCAGATGATCGACAATAACAAGTAAAGCGGTATCATTTACTTCAGATTTTTGGAGCCAATGAAACTGTTCAAAATTTTTGTTGTTAATTTATATCTGACTTAACTCAATAAGGGTAATGAAACCAAATATCTTCGGTTTTGCATCAACAAGAGTTTTATTTGTTCCTTGAAGTTGCTTATTTAATATATTTAGTTTTTCAAAGATATCGACTGTTAACAGATACTTCATTTCAGGTTTGTCGCTTAAAAAATCACTAAGAATATCAAACAGTTCCATAAATCTTTTCAAGCAGTTCGCTTTAGAGAGCCATCTTACTTCAGTGTGAAGTAAAAGTCTCACATGGTCTGCATTTTGTTCTTCACAAAATAGCTTGAAGAGAAGCTCACATTTGGCATTAGCTTTAATATCATTGATGCACTTTATTACTGAATGTAGTACTTCATTTAGAGCAGGCAAGATGTTTCCAGCTACCAAGTTTTCCCAATGAATAACACAATGCACGAGAATCATTTCTGGATTCTCATCTTTCATCAATTTTAAGCAGTCATTTTTCTTAGCAGCACCATCTGCAGCACAAGATGTTATGTATTTATTGGTATATTATTGACATCTATGTACTTTTTTAACTTATTATATATATGGATGGAGGTAGTGGTGCTTTCTAATCTTTTACAAAACAACATTTCTTCAGCAAAATGCCCAATATACTTAAGTAAGTCATCAATACTGCCACACTGTCTTTCAAAGTTGATTCATCCATTTNGATACTTTTTGCTGTACTATCATCATAGATGTAGGTAGATAAATGCTTGAAAGAAAATGCTTTTGTTACTTTTATAATCCGATTCAAAGTACTATTCATTTAAACAAAGAATTAATACTTTAAGTATGTATAAATCAACCCTTAAAGAGTAAACAGCGTGTATATAATATTGTTTGTTAAGAGATGGTCCTAGAAAAGTTTTAATCGCTCAAAATTGTTGATTCGTTTATGATTTAGTGTAGCTTATTTATCAGATTAGCAATTTAGTTAATCTGACACAACTCGTGGGAAATCATTAAAAATAAGCAATTTTAAAGTACGTTTGTTTCTTTTTAAATCACTTAGTGAAATCAGCGCTTTTCAAGCATTCATTCTAAACTCGAATTTTTGATAATTCGAACATTTTTTAACCTTCCCTTCTGAGTTCGAGGTACTAAGAGGGTATGTGGCGTAATCGTTAAATAAATATAATTATATTTTTATACTTTAAAATTGAGGAATATCATTACTATTTTAATTCTCTTTTTAAGCAAGCACGTTATGTAATGTCAAAGAAAAGTACTTATTGTTCTTTAAGAGTCGTAAAATCGTTTCGTAGATAGCGCCACTGGAAAACAAAAACAATCGCACCCCCTTGCCTTAATGGTCTACGAGAACAACAACAAATCATTTCAATTTTTATTTGTAGAGCCAAATATTAGATTTTGTGAGCAAAATAACATCATTGAATGAGGATGGAAACATAAAAATTTCACTAAAATGTGATATTTTTACACCAAATAACTGCAATAGATATCAGAGTTATTTAAATCAAATCTCAATATCTGTTTACTTTTACTAACAGAGTGATCATTTATCAGGTATAATGAAAGAATGTTTCAATTTTTCGGTAAAAAATTACAACTTACCTCGATTTTTAAAGTCAAAATAAAATTCCATGTTAATTCTAGGTTTTCCCTGTTCTCCCTGACATTTTATTGACCCAATGAACAGATGAAAGGCTGTGGTCTGAACTCTGGACCAGTACATAAAAGTACCACTCAGCTACCAGGAAGCATTACAGTTAAAACAATAGCAATAAAACATTCATAGATGTATTCTTAAAAATATGTTTTACTTGATATACAAATATTTAAAGCTAAATATGAAATAATATTGATTTTTTATTAGAAAAAAATCCATTCAGAAAATATTCCAAGTTATAAGTTTTTGATTATTTGATTGTTTACAGTATTATAGGACACCCTATTTTGATTATTTACAGTATTATAGGACAGTTTTGGAAGAAAATCTCAAGTATACTGTCAAAAATCAGTTTAAGACATCCTCAACCTCCATGGTATAAAAAACTTTTTTTAAAACCCAGAAACAAATGATCATTTTTGTATCCTTTTGTAACAATAAAAGGGATGAATTTAAAAATGATGAGTTACTCACACAATGAATTAAAATGAGCAAAGCATAACACTCATACAAAGAAACTGAATCAATTAAAAAAAAAACAATCAGCCATTAATAGAAAAAGACTTTAATTCAAGTAAAAAAGAAATCAAACATTTAATAAATATCTTCATTATATAAATATTTCACAATACACAATCTGTGGTCAAAAGTCGGGTTCTTCTATCTCTTCATCAGGTAATAAATATATCTTGCAATAATTGCATTGTTCCCTTCATCAATTAAGTCACTCTCTTCCGCTTCAAAACAAAAGTGGTTTTTTTCATACAACATCTTTTCCACTAGGTCATTAATAGTCCAAAATTTTAATAGAACAGAAATTTTACAAGAATAAAAGCAAGTAATCATTAAATCAATAATGGTTAAAATAAGTATCAATAATGGTGAAAATAAAGATCTGAAAGAGAGAAAAAAATTTTTCTTCCTTTTTGAAAGATATAAATAATTTTCATTAAAAAAAAACATCCTTAAACTTTTGTTTGTTTCTCATCAAATATAAAAAAGTGGATTGTCAGAATACTACAAAGTATAAAAAAGTCATTAGTATAAACCAAAGTTAAACAAAATTTTCAGATAATTCTATATACCTTGCACTTTCCTGTTGCTTCAATTTTATGTTATAAAGATAAAGAAGGAGAAAAGAATATTTTTGGAGGAACAGATAGAATTATTCGCAGTAAGAGTAGGGGTGGGGTTATTTCCTAAGCATATTTGAAGATTTCCTAAAAGTTAACTCAGATTGTATTTTTAAATATTTAAATCAGCAGCCATGAAACTATGATGAAAATTTTAATTAATTTTCTTTAATTCATTTGAATATATTATAAAAAAAATTTGAAAAAATTAAGAATGTTTTTTTATTTAATTGTGGAATTTCTGAAATTTACATAAAATACAATTTTGTGTTAAATTTTATACCTAACACACAATTTTTGCTTGGTATATGTAAGACTATGCCTAATTTTTGGAATATTCTCAGTGGAATTCTAAATGAAGGTTCGAATATGAAGATTGTGCTGTTAGGTCTATATAGTTTGTCTGAGGTAAGAACTCCCCCCCCCCGCCACAAAATATGAAGCCGTCTGCTGCTATGGAAACAGAATAACGCATTTCAGGGAGGGTAGCTCCTCTTCATTTGAGGGCTAACACAATAGACTGATGAAAAAGATTCCCTTTCTCTTGCCGACACGNTGCTACATTTTTTAATTGATGTACAATTTTCGCTTGATATATGTTAGACTATGCCTAATTTTTGGAATATGAAGAAATGGAATTCTTGAATAAAAGAATATGAAGATTGCGCTTCAGATTAACTCTGTAAATTCTGCTGCTTGGTATATAAGTTGTACAGAGCCAGCATCAAAAATACAAAAGTAATAACCAATCAGAGTTTTTAAATGAAGGAATACATTGCATAAAACAGATTAAAATGCTTGTGAAGATAAAACATAAAACAGATCTGCATAAAACAGATTGAAATGCTTAAGAAGATTAAAATGCTTCTTAAGTATCAAGAACAAAATGAAACTTTCTAAACTAGCTAACATGTGGGGAATGACTCACCAAGCTGGCATTAAAAATAATGTAATTCTAGAACGGAAGATTGGAACGTCTTTTCTGGAGTAGCGGGGAGTGTTGAAATGATAATAATATATTTTTTTCGTGAAAGGATGCTTCTTTTATGAAAGAGCAAAATGCTCAGCATTTATTCTATTTTTATGATGATTTAATTTTCATTAGAACAATACAGTTCAACCTTACAACAACATAGAATTCAATAGAAATTAGCATTCACAAGTAGCACAATTCTAAGATGTATAAATTACTAAATTCTATATATTCATAAAAAATTAGTATAATTAGGTATGTATTTACTATAAAAAAAATCAATACCTTGGCAATTAAAAAAATATCCGACAATGAAATTTTATACTTAATTGTAAAACAGTTGTATCGATGTTTTAATTTTTGGTTAAATTAGAACGAACCCTTATTACCTTTTCAGACAACTACATTTAAATCACTAAAAATATTTTCTCACAGCATTTCAGACTTGAGTTTAAGTTCTTTTGCTTTCCTATACTTTTATACTTTTCCTATAGTTTATACTTCTTTATGTTTGTATTGTTTTAGAAATGGTTCCAAGGAGTCAAAAAGAATTATCGTAGATTAGTTGCAAAATGCAAAAATTCTTAACTCTTGGTAGTTGAAAAATAACGTATTTTAAATAGATTACTATGAAAATTCCTTAAAACCATAATTTAGACCCTTATTTTGTGTACAAAATCGTAATAATTATGAAGAAATTGTAATGGTTGGCACCTCTGAGAACAGCACACGAATATGAGCGTGATGCTATTTTTCAACATTTGTTTTGGTGCCCGTTGATGGTAATCACTCTTTAGAAAGAATAGTTGTGAACAAATTGAGTAAATATTTAAAAAAAAATATTTAGAGATTCATATTCAATGACAAGATCAAAGAAAAGTCAAGATCTCCAATGAATCTGTTTCTGAAAAATTTAATGCTAAGGGATTCTGAGATTTGTGCAGCATTGAGTAAAAGAATGGTACAATCCTCTTCTCCCAATAAAGATAGTATTATCTCAACACATTTATCTTTAGCACAACTTCATGTTTTATTTTATAACTGTCATTGCGCAGTCAACCCAGTTTCAGGTTTACAACCATCAATGCTTAACTACGTTTTCTTGTAAATTTTGAACCCAACCCAGAAGACAAGACAATTCCTGTATCAAACATTGGGACTAACCAACCCTCGTAATGGTAAACACAATTTTTGCACAGAACTTCCTTTATAACCCAAAATAGAAGTACTGTGTTTCAGAAGATATAATTTTCCATATTTGCAAAACATTTTTTTGACAGTGTATTGAAAGATATATCTAGTCCATCAAATTGAGAGAAAAAAAGTAACTAAAAACAAAATTCCTCAAAAAAGACAATATTTTACAAGTAAATACACTACATTAGAGAATAAAAGAAA